CTCAATCATCTATTAACAAAGGTGCGGGTTTATTTAGGCACTTCCGTCAGTGAATACACAGCCTGCAAAACACTAAAATAAATATCAAAGAAATAATACAGTTAAACAAGAAAGTAGCCTAAATAAGAAAGTTAAATACACCCTGTCTACAGGACGCGATCGCAACAAAATACTATAAAACTCATTATAATCAGTGATGCTACACTGGATACGACATGACAAATCCCCGACAGTAAACTGCCTCGTTATTACACTTGTATACAAAACTTCATATTATGCTTGTTATAGAGTGCGTGGCGTCACGTGCACTACCGCCGGTGGCAGTAGCGGTGACGCGGTTGTCACAGCGACCTTTATTTATTTCCTGTGTTTGTGTTGCTACATTTTACATCGGCAATAATATTACTTTACTCTAGTACAGGAAAATAATTATTCAAGTACATTATAATAAATTATAATATTCATGTAGGGTTATATATATATATATATATATATATATGTATATGTATGTATGTATATATATATATATATATATATATCTCAGAAACAGAAAGAGCTTTATTGCTAAGTATCGTTGCACATACAAGTTATAGTGTCACAAGCTTCCAGTACACGGAGATGAATTATATGCCTATAATTAAAATATTAACACTGCAGTCATCGACAAAAATCAATTAAATAAAAAGCTTTTATTCCAAGCACTAACTTTTAAAAAAACAACCTGTTTAACACGAAATAAGTTTCTTCCAATTTTTTTTTGCTATCAAGAACACAATGATTGGAAGTGCTTCTTCCCTCCTTTTATAGCAATCAGTCTGCTCTTACGATCTAATTAGTATGATAGTGATTTCACCTGACTAGTACTCGTTCACACTTTTTTATGTTATTATTTATATACCAGTAGTGGGTTAATGTTTTTATATTATATTATATTATATTATTCAAATTTAGTAGTTCACCAATTTGGATTTTTCGGATATTTTTTTAAAATGCATTTTATTTTAAGTTATTTATTTATTTATTCATTTTATTTATTAAGTAAATATTTATTAGTACTTATATTCATATATTTATCTTATTTAATAAATATATTAATATTTATGAATTTATTTTTATTATTTTATTTTATTTCCAAGCATGTATTTATCAGTAGTGGTTTAGCAATGATCAATAATATTACATTTATTTTATATTTTATTTTATTATTATACTAGATTATCCAAAAATAGTGGTTGACCAATGTGGGTTTTTAAAGCTGTTATTTTATTTCATTTTATTACCAATATTTGTTTTTATTTAGCTGTTTCCAATAACTAGATTTTAGCTGCTAAAGTTTTGTTGTTGTTGAAATCAAGTTATTCTAACGCATGTTAAATATCCATCTTCTCATTCTGCGTCTCAGGCTAAAGCTGAAGGAGGAAGAGTGGCGTGAAGCTCAAAGGGGTTTTAACAAGATCTGGAGAGAGCAGAATGAGAAATACTACCTAAAATCTCTGGACCATCAAGGCATTAACTTCAAACAGAACGACACTAAGGTGCTGCGCTTGAAAACGCTTCTCAACGACATCGAGAGCATCTTTGATGAGGTGAGACGCTCTTTATCCTCTAGAGCAAGTTAAAAAGGGTTTGTTCCTCTCAGAGAAACTTGATTGATGGTTGTGTGTTCGTTTAGCGGCAGGAACAGGCTTCGGAGGACAACAGTACGTCTCCAAGCGGGCCTCACCTGACGCAGACCTACGAGGACCGTCAGATTCTGGAGGACGCGGCGGCGCTAATCGTCCATCACGTGAAACGCCAGAGCAGCATCAACAAAGAGGACAAATACAAGATTAAACAGATCATCTACCACATCATCCCCGACATGCTGTTCTCCCAGAGAGGAGTGTTGTCAGATGCTGAGGAAGACGATGATGAGGAAGACATGGACCTCGACGAGGGGGCGTCGAAGAAGCACAACGGGCTAACGGGAGGCGTTCGCGGCAGCCCGACAAAGTCCAAACTGCTGTTTAGCACGTCCGTGGCTCAGCGGTTGCGCTCCTGTGAGGACGCGTATAATCTGTTTTACGTGAATAACAACTGGTACATCTTCCTCCGGCTGCACCACACCCTGTGCTCGCGTCTGCTGCGGCTCTATGCGCAGGCCGAGCGACAGATCGAAGAGGACCTGAGGGAGCGCGAGTGGGAGAGGGAGGTGCTCGGACTCAAACGGGACAAAAATGACAACACTGCCGTCCAGCTGCGCCTGAAGGACCCCAGTGAGTGACAAAACCAGCTAACTTGAACAATTGTTTTATCAGAATAACTGATGAATTGTGCACAGTAAGATCAGGAACATTTATTAAGGAAGTGAATTCAATTTAATGTTGATTTTTGAAGTCTGGTGGATGTTTGTTGCTGATTTTGGACTGATTTCAGAAACTCTCACTCTCTCTTTCAGTGGACATAGATGTGGAGGATTATTACTCGGTGTTTCTGGAGATGGTGCGTAATCTGCTGGATGGGAATATGGAGGCGTCTCAGTACGAGGATTCGCTCCGAGAGATGTTCACCATTCACGCCTATATCGCCTTCACCATGGACAAGCTCATCCAGAACATAGTCAGACAGGTCCGTCTGCCCAAATCCACTGACATAATCATAATATAGTGCTTTTGCCTTGATATTTACAGTATAGTGCTAGTTGTTTTATTATATTGTATTATATTATATTATATTTAGAATATTTTATATTTTTTTAATTTATTATATTCATTGTAAATCAAAATGGTAAAAAATAAAATATATATATATATATCATTTTTTTTCTTAATTTTATTCAAATTTATTTAACTTGTTAATTTGTTAAATGTAACTTTTTTTTATTATGAAAAAATGTTTAATAAATTATCTTTTTGGATATTTAAAAAAATAACAAATAATGTAGAAAAAATATATAAAGTGAATAAATAGTGAGTAACGTGAATAACAGAATAAATATAAATTACGAAAATGGCTTGTTCGAATTGCGTACAATTATGGTATTATTTCTCAATTTATGGAATTTATATTCATTATTTTATAAAAAAAAAAAATTTTACCTTTTATATTTTTTTATTCCCTTTATATATTCTTGTTATGAAAATAGTTTAATAAATTATCTTTTTGGACTTTGAACTAAGTTACATAGAAATAAAAAAAACTTCATAGTACAGTGTCTCAAAAGATGAGTTGGATTCCTCTACAATTTTAAAATCCTTGAGTTGGCTTGTAGGATATGAAAATCTCTTTTTCTCTCTGTCTGTAACTGTAGCTCCAGCACATAGTGAGTGAGGAGATCTGTGTTCAGGTCACAGAACTGTACCTGAGTGAGAGCAGCCACTCGGCCACAGGTGGATCTCTGCTCACACAGAGCAGCAGGGCACCGGCGGAAGTGTCTTACCAGCGCAAAGCCGAGCAGCTCATGTCCGATGAGAACTGCTTTAAGGTAGAGCTCCGACCTAGTGAGTGCTAGAGAAGGCCACACAGAGAGTCTCACAGTATTAAGAGTCTCTAATCTCTCTTTCTCTCGCTCTAGTTGATGTTTATGAAGAACCGAGGGAATGTTCAGCTCACTGTGGAGCTGCTGGACACAGAGGAGAACTCAGACGGGCCAATGGAGATCGAGGTGAGCTTCACTTATTGATTCGCAGATCAAACATGGATGCGAATGTACACACTTCTGTCATTTTGGACCGAATTGAAATGTTGTAGTAATTTTACATTTAGTCATTTATCAGATGCTTTTATCCAAAGCGACTTACAAATGAGGACAATGGAAGCAATCAAAATCCACAAAAGAGCAATAATATGCTTCTTTTTTTTTTTTATGGAATAATTTAAAACATTTAAATTAAGTAATAGTAGAATGAATTAGTTAATTAATAAATAAAAATGAATAAATAAGTAAATATAGGAAAAATAAATTAATTTTCATTTTAAAAATGTAAAAAAAAACAAAATCAAAAATAAATAATAGTAATAATAATATTAATGATTTTATTATATAATATATATTATTAATATTATTATAATAATAATGTATAAAATGTAAAAATAACAAAAAAAAAGAAGTCAAATCCAGATCTGCTATTATTCTTCAGTTCCAGGGTTATTATAGTTACTTGAAACTAGGGCTGAACGATAAATCGCATGCGATATTTAATGCGCATCTTGTCAGAAAGCCAGTTCTGTAATCAGCGGTA